GTGTAATTAATTAATGATTAAAGAATAGGGCGTCATGACTTTGAGATGAAGTTGGAGTAAATGGGGAAGAGTTGAAGAGAGGGTGAGGAGGGAAATGATGTAAATATAGCACTCATGAAACTCTCAAAAATATCTGAATAAATACATAAGTAAAATTGTAAAAAGGAGTGCGGCTTCTGATAGGTCAGCTATGCTCCCATGGATAGCCTCGTACCCAGAAGTGTATGAATGAATGGATTTGATGGGTTCTAAGTTACTAAACTAAAGAAAAGAACATGAAGGTGGGATCATAGGAAAGTGGGAGTGGGTCTTGGAGAAGTTGGGGGTGAATATGATCAAAATACAGTGCATAAAAATTTCAAAGAATTAACAAATTTTTTAAGTGGTAGGATAAAAGCAACCATATTATAATTATGTGTGCATACATGTGTGCGGTGTATGGATGAGTATGGATGTGTATATGACAGAGGAGAAATTTTGAAACTTAGTTCTTGCTTTCTATTATGGGTTCTGGGAATTGAACTTGGGGTTCAGGCTTTTATAGTGAGTGCTTTTACCTGCTGAGCCATCTTACTGGCCCTTAAATACATTTATAAACTAGAATATATTGTGGTAATAAGGTACTAGAGTATGTAACTCCCATACTCAGACCTAGTATTCTTTAAATGAGTTGAGCGGCCTAACCAATAATTAGTTCCTAATTGTTGGAGTAAGCAAAGTCATTACTACCTAGTTGGAAGTGGGATTTAATAGAATTATAATCAATTTTTTTATTTAGACATTTAATCTGGTTAAATTGTCATGTGCTAATTCTCTATAGACAATATTATTTACTGGTGCAGAACACTCTGCAAACACAGGGAGTTTTCATATCTTTTATGACTCTTTCCTCTCAATATCGCTAGAAAATAATCCCCACAGGAAAAAGCAAGCCTGGAACATGCTCACATTGTTAATATTGATACACATAAAGTTTCCTCTATAAATCCACAGAGAAGAAGCTTAGTTTATATGTCTTTCAAAATGTTGAATTAGAGAGAGGAGGATGTCAGCATAGTTCAGTGAAGACAATCGTTTTTACTAAAGGAAACATACCTGGACCTCTGAATTTGTGGGTTCCTTATTTATAGATTCAGTTAACTACAGATTAAAAACATTTACAAGAAATGCATGTGAATTGAACACAAACAGACATTTATCTCTAATAGTATATGAACATGCAGTATGGAACTCTATAATAGTGTTTACAGTGCGCAAGGGACAGGAAGTCACCCAGAGACAGCTTGGAGTATGTGAAAGGATGTGCATGAGTTATAAGCAAACATATACTACTCGAGCTTACGTAGGGAACTAGAATACATGAGGATTCGGGTATCACAGAGATCCTGAGTCCATCCCCTGGAACCGATTACCAAGGTATGACTATAGCTCAGCCTTTTATTGGAATCTACCAAAAATATTCAACACCAAACGTTGGTGTATTAGCTTAAAATGGTCATTCCTGAATTTATATAAGTAACATTATATGATCTGTCTGAGTACATTGTATTTATATATTTAGGAATATCTGTCCGTCTGTCTGTCTATCTATCTGTCTGTCTATCATCTATCTCCTTTCTCTGTTTATACATATATATATAAGCATATATGCATACATATATATTAACAATGAAATAATTATAGGCCATGAATTTGAGAGAGAGCCATGAGAGGTATTTTGGAAGAATTGGAAGGAGTAAATGAAAGGGGGGGGGGGATGATGTAATTTTAAAAATTCTAAATAATGTTAAAATCTTATAGCCTAGTTGGAATAGGATTGGCAGCTTAAAATGATAAATCGTGTATCCTGATCCATTTGGCGGTAAATATTTGTTAATGACTAGGTTTGCCGTTTTCAGCTAAAGAGCAGATGGGATTTAGGGGTGTGTGGACGGTCACTGCAGGGGTGAGGCGTCTTGCCCAAGGGCCTTTCCTGGGGGAGTTTGGATTGTTAGACCTGCACTTGAGAGAAGCCTGGTTACTGTGTCTAGGAACAAGATAAAATGAAGCTTATCTTCTGTCGATCAATACAGTCTTGTTTGAGCTCACTGAGTCATGGAGTAATGTGGTAATGAAAGCCATTGGGCAATAGTACCCAAAGTATTACCCAGCGTCCTAAGGGATGCCGGTGTTTTCAGAGAGTTACTGGAACAGGTTTTAGATCTGCTGTCAAGTTAACATACACAGCGTCACAACCTGAAACCATAAAAACAAGTTGAGTTTTTCTTAGTAGTTCTAAAAAATAGTTTCTAAACTAAAAGTTATCCTGCTTGTAGTGTGTGTGTGCCTGCGTGTGTGTGTGTGTGTGTGTGTGTGTGTGTGTGAGTGTGTGTGTGTGTGTGTTTGTAGGTTCTGAAGAAGTGCAGTGGCTTCGGTAATTAATGGGTTTCTTTATCTGATTTTCTACTTGAATGGGATTGTTTGGAGAAAGCTGGTGGGTGGTATGTTTGGACAGTTTAAGTTCTTCTGGGGAAAAAAAACATGGGAAAATAGGAGATGGGGATCAACTTGTTCTTAAACACCAGCTCTCTGCTTATCAATCTTCGCAAAGTTCTATGGGTAGATCACATACCCGCTTCACATCTAAAGAATCTGAGCTTTTGGGAAGCCAAATACCGTCTACAGCTTCATAAGCCAGGGAGGTTTGGAGTGAGGATTGTAGCCTGGTCGTGTCTGTAAGAGAGCCTGGCAATCTTGCTGTGATTAGTTTTAAAGACTCTAGCACGGGCATGGCTTTGCTTGGTGGAGAATGAGGAAAGCATATGAGTTATTGGAAGTTCTGACTTAGATCGGTCAAAACTCAGTGATTATACTTGATACTGGTCATCTCAAACACTAGACATGGGTTATAAGAGTGATCTCTCCTCAGCCTGTAGCCTAAGGGGTATAATTTTGGAGCAATGTTGGTAGACACATGTCTTGGAAGAAGTTCTCTTATAAAGTGAGGTTAGGAAACTGTATGACCTGTTCCTTTGGCTAATTGCAACGCTAAGCACCCATGTGCGTGTAGTAAATCCTGATGACAGAGTACAGTGTGCATGTGTGCTCTGGAATTAGACTACCTGACTGGGTCACCAGGCTGTGCCGCTTGCTTTTAACATTGAGCCTGTTAAGTAATTTGTCTGCATCTCAATCTAACAGCAATATGATATAATGATACATGGTAATCATATATTCATAGTAGTGGGGTGTTCTAAGAATAACAGGAGATTAAATTTAAAGACGGTGCTTACGAATACACTTGATAATCTAATACTTAGCAAATATTGTTATGTTGAAGAGCATCCAAATGGTAAGAAGAGCTGCTTTCAATGATCTAACATGACTTATTATACGACATATTTGATTGACTATGGAGACACATGTTCTTGGCCCCTTCTGTTCCTTAAGTGCAGTGCAGGTAATGTCGATACTTAAAACATCACAGATTAGCTGGGTGGTGGTGGCACACACGTTTCATCCCAGCACTCGGGAGGCAGAGGCAGGTGGATCTCTGTGTGTTCGAGGCCAGCCTGGTCAACAAGAGCTAGGTCCAGGACAGTCTTGATAACTACAGTGAAACCCTGTTTTGAAAAACCAAACCAAACAAAAAAAAAAATCACAAATTAACTTGTCATTAGCCTAGTTTAAAATGGCTACTCATGATTTTGTATCTACTATGTCAATCTATGAATGTCATTTAAAACAACTTATTTCTTGTCAATGGTATATTCTTTTACCCCTATACTTAACACAGTACATTGGACAGCAAAATGTATACATTTTTTTTAAATTGAGAAGTACCAATATTATTCTAGAAATGGCCTGAAAAGTAAACAAGAATTATCTACTTCTCTATATTGGCAGGGGGATCGCTAACTTCTTGAACAAGTAAACGATTTCCCTTTTATTCCAGATTCACTCTCTTACTGTATGCTGCTCAACATGTTAGAGTTTCAGGCTAGACTGGCTCATTTGGTGCTCCTTATATTGAAAGTTTACCGACATTTGGTTTATAAAACATTAATCTCTTGGGATGCACAAATGATTTTTCATTATCTTCTAGGAGAGTCACATGTGAAACTGTCACCAGGACAGACACGTATTTCCTGGGGCCTCTCTGTGGCACCTACTCTGATCACGGGGAAGTGACAGAGCTTCAGTCAGTCAGAGAGTTGAGATTTCTGTTAGAACAGACAATGCCCTGATCTACTTCCCTCCTTAAAACCATCCTGTTTGGGTGTTTAGCTATCGTTCATGGGTGAGAGAAATAGGAATAAAAAATATGTACGCTGTTCTATGTTTGCTCAGTCTGTGAAAGCGATCTAATAGTCACCTTGAGGTTGAGCTCTAACACAGTCAGAAGCAGTCAGTTTTCCATAGTGGCCTTTGCTTTCTTTTCTTGCTAGAATTAAAAGCAAATGACTTAGAATATTATTTTGCTTAGCAGGTTAATGGCAGAAGAAATAGCAAGATTTCACCCCAATTCTCTCCTTAGGGTGGTAGCATGCAGAAGTTAGTTGAATTAGGTACAGTCTGAAGTACGATAGGAATGAGAACTGACACACAGAGCTAAAAAATCTCGCTGTGTTTGACTATGTCTTTTGTTAATTGCATGTCTGCCCTGAGGTCCTCGGTACAAGGACGGACGGTGAAGCACAGCTCTCCCTGATACTTGGCTGGAAGTAGGGGTTATAGCACATGAGCTCCACTTGTGAACACACGATGATCACCCCACTTTCCACAAGCTTGGGGAATGTACTAAATCAAGGAGTAAATCATGACATTCGTCTCGTCTTGAGACTGTATGATCATTTCCAATACTTTGTTTTGTTTTTTAGTTGGTTTCATTAGTATAAAAGCAAACGGCAATTCTCTGTCTAAGACTCAGGAGTAGGAAAGAGCACAAGCTGTTTTCATGCATTCTCATAGATACCACAACACAGAATTGAAACAGAAAATATGAAAAGCGTGGGCCATACCTGAGTAATTCCTGAAGTTCCCCACCCGGAAAGAGGTTCCTTGATTATGGCGAATTCAGCATGCCACTTTGGTTATATTCTAATCACCGTATCAAACTCCAAAGGTTCAGTGGCTTTAGGTTTGGTTTACAATTCCTGGAAGTTAAACTTTAACTCGCCCTGTCTCTTGCATCCACGCAGCCCTTTGACCAGGTAATTGGGTCACTATGGCCTAAACAGAAGCTACTAAACTCTTCCCCTCTTGTTTACAAAATGAAAATGTGTTTGGCATTTACAGTCATTGGGGTCAATTCTTTTTTGAACGTAGCTTTTAGAAATAAATTTAAATGTGGCATTCGTTCCATTTTAGGAAATTAAGAATTTCTTGATGTGGTCAGCTTATTTATTTGCTGTGTCAAAGTGATCTAGCAGGCAAGGTAATTTAGGAGACTGTTCTGTCGTGCCGCACTTTTCCTAGTACGGTTTTTACATGGAATAAAGTGTAGAGTTTTAGGTCAAGTATGCAGATAAATGCTGGCTTACAAACACAAAATACACAAAGCGTTTATATAAACAAGTAGCTGAATTTAGGCCAAATCAGGTTTGGAAAAACATTTAGCATTTCAGAAGCTGCTCGTTCAGATTTGAAGAGGGAGCCAGCTCTCAAGGAAGAGCCAGGGCTGCAGTTCACAGCTGGAAATGTCAGCAAACCATTTTTCTTAAAGGACAGATAATTGGTATTTTTTTTTAAATGTAAGCTCTATAGTTAATTTATCCAGCATGAGCACCAGTCCATATAAGAAATCTCAAGGGATTTTTTAATCAATCTATTTATAAGATAAAAACAACCAAACCTCCCTACTTTTGAGTGAATTTTATCTTAAGACTTGTAAAATTAAATTAAAGGATACTTTCCCTTGGCTCTGGGTCAAGTAAGAAAGGTCCAGTTTCCCGGGAACCAGCTTAGGACATTTTTTACCTATAGGAAACCGCAGAACAAGCAAGGGATGACAGCCTATGAAGTTTGCCTATGCTCAGAGAGGATAGGGACCTGAAGATCTGCAGCAGTGTTCATTCTGCCTACAGCATTACGTGTCCTACCACGAAGCCTTGATTGCCTTGCGTGTCTTTCAGTAAGTACATACCTGCCCTAGCTAAAGCGCCTCTGAGACTATTGGTTTGTCCTGGAACGGCAGCACGCACTGCTTCTCACATATAGACAGTCACCACTAGACGTCTCTGCTCATTTCTTCTGCTCGCTCAGATCCTTCTTGATTGCCCAGGGGAAGCTCCACCTGCACTAGGTTGGCTCCCCAGTGAGGGAGGAATTCTCACTTTGTGTCTGATCCCACAAGCAAGTGTTGATATCATCTTGAGACTGAAGGTCCTGGCAGCAGGGGGTTCCTGATTGTGTGGTAGCTGCCTGGGCAGTGCTAAGTGAGGATTCAAAACTTTGACAAAGGAAAGCAAGGTCCCCTTAGATAGTTGGAGGAGACAGCAAAAACATAAGAAGAAACTGGAGAGAGGAAGAAATAGAGACAGATAGAGAGAGACCAACAGACCTGGGATTATTTCTTAACAACCCCTTTCTTAGTTGAAAGTATCCTGAGTTAAAAATGCACTTCCTGTTATGGCTAACCCATGGGACGTGCAGAGAGTTGGTTTCCCGCCTGACTGTCCACTGACTGAAAGGAAACTGTGACCGGCTACCACTGCCCAGCGTCTCTGGAGAATAAGTACCCTACAACCCAGAACTAGGAAAAGATCCAAATTTGAAATTCAAAGTATGATTTCTCCTGGAATGCATGTCACTTTTACAGGAGCAAGTGTTAGATGTATCCAAGTGGAGCCAATGAGAGCAAAGGAGAACTGGTTTAACTAACATCCCAGTCCAGGTTACTATAAGGGAATACAACACAGTGGGTGGCTTCGACAATTCTCGCTTTCTCGGGGTCTAGAGGCTGGAATTCCAAAATTGGGTGCTAGCAGGGTCTTGCATGACTTGGTATGTGACCATGGGAAAAAAATTTTGTTTGTTTGGTTTAGTTTTTCAAGACAGGCTTTCTGGAAATTGCTTTGTAGACTAGGCTGGCCTCAAAGTCACAGAGATCCACCTGCCTCTTCCTCTTCAGTACTGGAATTAAAGGTGCATGCCACCATGCCTGGTTGATAAAGAGATTTTTTTAAAGTATTTACGTGTTTTTGTCCATTTATACATATGGGGAACCATGTGGGTGGCATGCAACAGTGTGAGTGTGGAGTTCAGAAGACAACGGAAAAGCTCATCTTCACTTACCACGTGAGTCATCGTGATCGACCATGAGTAATTGGGTACATGGGCAGGGGCCTTTGCCAACTGACTGTTTTGTTGACTGGAGATATTTTCTAATAAAGGCATTTATACTATCCAAGGCCCTGTGCCCATGACCCATTCTAGTCTAGTTATTTTCAAAAGAATTTCAGATGTCATCATGGTTAAGGTTTTAGCATGAATTTTAAGGAAAAAGCAAACATTCAGTTTATAAAAGTTTCACATCAAAAAATTTCAGCGTCTTCTTTGGTAGGTCCTGACATTTCACAAAGCAGGATATGCTCCTGCCCAACTATAATTCATGTGCTACTCATGTGGGGCAATAATAAATTTGACAGCATCATTAGGCTATGATTTTTCTTTTCCAGGCCATTGTGTTAGAACAGTTGGGATTTATTGACCAGAAGTAGAGTGATAAACATCTAAGCAGACTTTTGCGAGGGCTCCTTGCCAGTGATGCATCAGTAGTTAAGGGACAAAGAGTCCACCAGATCAGAATGGAATCAACTCAAGACCTTGATTCTGTCAGTCTAACCATGGAAATCCACTATTCAAACAATGGCAACACTTGCCTTTATTTCACAAAACAGCCCCAATTTAAATAGTGCCTGGAAAAAATATCAATTTTCCACTAGTTTATCCTACAAACTATGGGAGACCTGTTTTTCCTTAGGAACCTTCATGATACGGTAACTGTTTTATGTCAGAGATGGCGGTCTGAGGAGATGGTTCAAACAGTGAGGTACGTGTTGTGCAATCATGATGACCTTGACCTGAGTTTGGATCCCCAGGACCTTTGTAGAAACAGGGCACATGTCTCTAATTCTAGTACTTGGGAAGAGGAGATAGGTCGAGTCCCCCAGTTCACAGGCCAGCTACTCTAGTCAATCACAGATAGAGACACAGAGTCAGAGATGTAGAGAGAGCGGAGTCTATTAGTAGATTATGGAACTAATATTGCACCAAACATTGTAACAAATAGGGAGGGTAGGAAGTGCCTATGAGAACTCTCTTTTTCATCGTAAGTGGGTGATAGTTATTTAAAATGGGAAGTGATGGGCTAGGGAGATTGTTCAGACAGGAATGTGCCTGCCCTGTAAGGATATGTGTGTGGATTATAATTTAATATTTTCATTAATCATAAGGTTTTTTTTTAAAATTTACAAGCTATTGTGCTGAATTTTAGGGGTTTCATGGTTATCAGACCAGATCGAGGTTGCATACATAAAGAAGTACCTCAAGAGTAAACTCATTACATCTATAACTAATGTTCTGAAGGAGAAACACAGTATGCTAAACAGAACATAAAAGGTAAGAAATAAATGCAAGGTAGGAAAATATCCTCCTGTACACTGTGAATATATATTATTCTCTTCGGGTAATAAAGAGGTGAGTGTCCAGAAGCCAGGCAGGAAGTCTAAGCAGGACAACCAAGCTAAGTAGACTAGGAGGAAGAAGGGCAGAGCCAGAGGGGAGAGGCCAGCCAGTCACCACACAGGCAGAAGGTGGAGAAAATGAGAAGCAAGATGTGAGCCATGTGGCAAAGCGTAAATAGAAATGTAAGAGTCAGCTAGTAAGAAGCCCGAGTTATTTATTGGTCGAGCGTATATAAGTAATATGCCTCTGAGTGGTTATTTGGGCACTGGTGGGTGGGAGAGAAACACCCGACTATGTAAGATAGCTCAGGAAAACTCCAGCATCCAAGTGTGAGGGAACTTTCTAGTTGGCAGAAACAGCATAGATGAAGTCTGAGCTGGAGTTAGTTGAGCGCCTTCAAGTGACAAGTGGAGCCAATTGTGAGTAGCAAAGGGAAATGGGTCAGAGAAAGAAAGGAGTTGGTGCCAGAGCCAAAGCCAACTCATTAGAGGGGACCTGTGAGAGTGTTAACAATTTTCCATGTTACTCTGTGACAACGGACGTTCCCGAAGGATTGAAAGGAGGCTAGCCATCTATATGGTTCATACTGTGAGTACAAAATAAAGAAAAAAAATTATGGTAGAATTTAATATGTGGAACATTGCCACCCCTACTCCTCCCCATTGTTTAAATTGTCAGCTTGGCACAACCTAGAGTCTGAGGGATTGTCTAGATCAGGCTGGCCCATGGTCATGCCTCTGTGTTATTGTTTTTACCGTTTTAATTGATGTGTAAGACCCACCCTGATAGCAGGTGGCAACATTCCCTGGCCTGAAGCTGTGGACTGTGTAAGAGTAGAGAAAGTTATCATGAGTATGCATGCATTCATTTCTCTCTGCTCTTGGTAGTGTGTGTGAGACACCCGACTGTCTAATCTACCTGTTGTCTTGACTTCCCTGCTGTGATCAACAGTTCCCTGGATTTGTGAGCTAAAGAAACCCCTTCTCCCCTCTCCTGAGCTGCTTCTTGCCAGGTGGATTATTACAGCAACAGGAATCAAACTTGGATAACTCCCTTTCAGCTGTATTAGAATTGTCTTATACTCTTATTTATCTGAATATTTCACGTTGTGGATTTCAGAGACAAAAGTGGCAAAGACCATTCAGAGACGGGGTGAGAGGTGATAAGAGCTGAGGGGAGAGTGTTGGCATTGGAAATGAGATTCACAAGGTTCGGCCAAATGCGGAGGTGTTAAGACATAGGAAGGGGATGGGCACCCAGGGAGGGATCCTTGGAACCCTTAAGAACTCCCAAATTGCTGGGTGGTGATGCTGTGTGCTGAGCTGGTATTTGCAGAGGGAAGGTCTCGCAGAGGTGGACTAAATCAGACAACTTCCTTATGCAGAGGCTGTTCCCAGTCACTCATGCGACAATTATTT